GGCCTGACATGCGTTTGTCCCGCGTGCTACCCCTGCTGGTCCTGCCAGCGTGCGGTGCAGCGGCCCCAGCGCCCTCCTCACCTTCTGCTAAAGAACTTGTGCTCCCGAATTCTCAGCGGCTTTTGTTCTCATGAGTCTTCATGGAGGCCCCTCTCCAAGGCAGCCCCCCCGAGTCTGCCTGCAGATCAGGAGCCCCCATGGCAGCCATGTGCAGAGTAGCTGAGGGTCCCTGCACCACACACCTGAGTGTACCTCACACCTGTGAATCTGCCACACACCTGAGCACACCACAAACCTGTGCGTCTGTCCCACACACACGTGACGTGCTGAGAAGCACTTTATCTCCATCAGAGGAACATCTCATTGCTGAGAAAAGGAAGGAAGGAAACTTCATCCACAATCTGACCTTTTCTCTGTAAAAGTCTCCGTCTCACCTGCCTTTGTCTGCTTTCTAGGAATATGGAGCTAACCGCACACACACATTCCTTCCCCGGCAGCTGACACACAGGATGAGCACATCGGCCTCAGCATCAACCGTTGGCCCGTATCATCCATGGAGGACAAACGCTGATCGTGTGCCTGTAGGCAGGTGTCTCACCAGGGCTGGCAGCTCCTTGCAGTAGCAGAGGCTTCCCTGACCCAGGTAGGAATCCAGAGGCCAGAGAAGCCGCGGGTGTGGAGTTGGGGTTGTTCACTGCAAAGGGAGACAGCACGGGCAAGGCCTGGAGATGTGGCTGGGAGGGCTGCAAGGTGGCTGCAGCAGCTGCCCTCACCCCAAGCACGGAGACCTCACAGGCCTGAGGCTGAAGAAGGAGTGAGGGCAGCTCCCAGGGTGGGGTGGGTGCAGCTACTGGACACTGAGTCCAGGTGCCCGTGAGGCAAGGGAGAAGCCGCTGGGCGCCTGGCCGTGGAGGCCTGACACTGAGTCCAGGTGCCCGTGAGGCGAGGGAGAAGCCGCTGGGCACCTGGCCATGGAGGCCTGGGTGAGGAAGACCTCATGGAACTGGGAGCCTGGGGCCTGGGCAAGGCAGCTGACCTCATGGAGTGGAGCTTGGGGTCATCTGCTGCAGAGTCACGGGGGTGTCAAGGTCTAGCGAGGCACCCAGTGGATGGCTGCGGATCCTCAGAGACTGCCCTGGGATCCCCATGACTGAGGTCACAAGGTCAGTCCCAACCCCATACCTTGGGCCTGACCCTGCCACACCCGGGCCTCCTGTCCAGTGATGTTCTAATCCACTAACCACGGGCACCACAGATGGGAAACTCACGGTGCCAGGCCCCACCCGTGGCCAGCACAGGCCAACAGATCCCCAGTTTCTTATCAGTGACACCCACCAGAACCCAAATCTGAAATCTGAATACCCCACCCACTTCTTCCACACAAGCTCTGGCTTCAGGTTCTAGGGGAGGCCACGTGCCAGCGCGAGGGGTGGGGGTTGCGAGGGGATGCAGGCAGCGAGGCTGCAGGTGCTGCCGGGGGACACACACACCAGCCAGGACCGCAGGACAGACCACAAGGCCACAGGCAGCGCAGTCGGCTGTGGGCAAGGACTCCCCGCAGCCTGGCAGGTGGTGCGACTGGCAGAGTAGCCAACTAGGAGCAGACGAGGACAGCGCAGTGCAGGCCCCACACCAACCCGGGGGCCACATGGGGCCTGGGCACCTGAGAAGGGGCCAGCACAGATTGGCGGTGTAGCCAGAGGGAGCAGCCAGGCCCCCAAGCCCACATGCCTCCTCCTCCCATACCCAGGGAGCCGGGAGCGCCTGCTCCAGAGGGATCCGTATCCAGAGGCCCCAGGCCAAGTGCAGGTGGGAAGTTGGGGAGATCTCACCTGGAGCACAGATGCAGCCCAGCCCCCCGCACCCCTCCACACACACAGCACACACCTGCCCAGCGTTAAAGAGACTGGGGCTTTTTCCAGGAAACCACACCCCCTGCCCCTCACCCCTCAACACACCAAGCAGGGATTTGAGCAGGTAGCAGATCCCAAGAGACCAAAACAGAGAAAAGACGTGCAGAACTGTGTGGAACAAGCAGCGTCAAGGCAGGCGTTCTGAGCAGAGGCTGCAGCCCCGAAACCAGACGCATCACTGCAGAAGGGAAGCGTCCAGAGAATGAGGCTGGGGCTCAGGGCTCAGGACCCAGGGGGGCCCGGCGCTGCACAGCAAGGCAGGGAGGGGGACCGGGCAGCACTGGCAGTGGACCGAAGTGAGCAGGGGGATGTGCTGGGTGGCCATGTGCTGCAGGCCACGTGCGGAGACAGCGTGGCTAAATCATTAATGATGGAAATGCGCAACCTGCTACACCAAATTGGATTTCTTTATCCAAACGGAGCAGTTTTATGAAATGTAGCCTCTTGAACAGAAGGTGAGAGTCCCTCTGGCTTTTCACAAGCAGAGCTGTGCACGCTGGGCTGGACAATGTCCCAGAAGGTGCCCAGGACCCTGGGAGGTCCCAGACGAGCCAGCACATCTGACGCAGTGACTGTCTGTAGGACCAGGGCATGGGGCCTGGTTCTTGGACCTATTTGATTTGAAAAGTTGAAGGCAGACCACAGGTCTAACATTCCCTTTATTGCTTATGTCGCATATACCAATGAATACAATAAACTCCTTTTTAAAAAAGTAAGGCACATGAAAAGCCTTTTGTGCAAGTTCCATATTATTTTAAAATTCCTATTGACTAATAAAAGCATTTCCACTATAGAACCAGAGACATCTAGAAAAGCACATGATAGATTTTTTTGCAAGCAGAATGCCTCAAACATTATTACATTTACCTCATGGCACAATGAGACAGTCACCAAATCCAATGTCTGCATTATAATGATGCAGCTACTATTACAGTTGGAAAACATTAATCACCTTATCCACATATGTACAGCTGGGTCCCCACATGGTAAAATCTAAAGGAAGAACAGCATCTAACTGCATCTGGGTTCCGTTCCCTCACAGGCAGGAACTTTGGCGTTTCGGCTCTTGCCATGTCGTGCTGCTCTTCATGAGAGGCCAGGGTCATACGATACTGAAGACCATGGACAGGTACTGTTCGTACGACACCTGAATCCAGCCATCCTGATCCGTGTCGTAACGTCTGAATATATCCGTCAACCTCTGGGGAGAAAACATGCATTTAAATCTCGATAGTGAACGGAAGGAGCAAGGTGCACTGGGACAAAGTCATTAGGAACCCAATTTCAGAAGCACACAGGTCATCTCCTGATGGAGCCCAGCACAGGGAGGCACAGGTGGGGCTGGAGCTGTTCACATGGACAGTGGGAGTGGGAAGAACACAGGGCTGCAGGGCTGGCTCCACTACGTCCAGCCCTGGCTGAGCCCCTGACCGAGCCCCTGATCCCAGGCCCTGGTCTCCTGAGTCTCCTGGGGGCCTGGGCCCTTCCTTCGCCCCTGAAGACCGTCCCGTGGAGGCCCTCCACCCTCCAGTGGCTCGCCTCTGCTGTGGGGCCACCTGGGCCATGTGGAGCTCAGGACACAGCGGGGGATCTTGTGACATCACGAGGGCTTCAGGCTCCTTCAGCCCCGCCCACCCCTCCCTCTGACAGCCGAGGGTCCAGGCCAGATCAGCAGCAGAGACAGGGTGACCGCCTACACCCTCCTAACAGGGATGGTTAAGTAAGTGCCACTTCTAGATGATGGACTTGGGGCAGCCGTAAAATATCACGAAGATTCAGGCCAGCATGGTGACTCTCGTCTGTGATCCCAGCACTCTGGGAGGCCAAGGCGTGAGGATCGCTTGAGCCTGGGGGTTGAGGCTGCAGTGAGCCGTGTTCACACCACCACACTCAGGCCTGGGTGACAGACAGCAAGGGTCTCTCAAAAAAAAAAAAAAAAAAGGAAGGAGAAGAAGGAAAAAGAAAGAAGAAGAAAGAAGAAGAAGAAGAAAATGTGACAAGGGAAGAAAACAGCAGTCCTCGCATATCAGAACGTGGACAGGGTGTGGTGACTCTCGCCTGTGATCCCAGCTACTCAGGAGGCCAAGGCGGAAGCAAAGCTTGAGACTTGGGGTCGAGGCTGCAGTGGGCTGTGTTTACACCACCACATTCCAGCTGGGGTGACAGAGCGAGACTCCATCTCAAAGGAAAAAACCACCCAGCAGGAGCGCCACGGCACCACCAGGCTCCTGGACTTGGCAGCAGCTACGGCCTCACCAAACTCCAAAAACACCTGCAATGGATGATGCTGGCTTGAAGAATAATGGGTAATTTTTCTTTCTATTTTGAATCCTTTGTGTCTTTCTAGGGTTTCTAAAAGTGTTCGTATTATTTGTTAAAAAATAATTTTCGAAAAGCCTTTATCCTTTTGGAAAAAGCAGATGAATCAAAACGTTTTTGAGGGAATTTTAACTTGTGGTCTGCAGCTTTCTTTTCTTTCCCATTCCCCATCTGTCTAGTGTTTAGGGTCACTCTCCAAGGGTGGGGACAGCCCGGGAACTGGCTGTCAGGCCCTCCCCATGCGGTCTGGAGCCGGGCCTTGGGGAGGCAGCACCCCCCAGGAGGAGCTACGCTTGCTGCGGATGTGCCTTGGAAGGCGCTGGAGAGGTCACTGTGAGGCCGCCAGTGTTACTCCAGCTACCGAAAGCTCACACAAGATCAACGTTAACTTACAGAATATAGTCTCAAATGAAGATCTGAATCCTACAGCAATTCAGTCACGGTACATAACGAGATTTTACACTGCATCGTTTCCCTCTTTTTTTGTGACACAGTGTCTGGCTCTGTCACCCAGGCTGGAGTGCAGTGGTGTGATCTTGGCTCACTGCAACCTCCACCTCTTAGGCTCAAGTGATTCTCCTGCCTCAGCCTCCTGAGTAGCTGGGACTACAGGCATGTGACACCAGGCCCGGCCTACACTTTTTTGAAGGTGTTCAGAGAACCTTGTGAAAATGTCATCCAACGTGGCAGGAACCCCAAGAGGCAGGGCAGGAAAGGCTCCCCCACTGTCGAGTTTTGAGGCTTCCATGTTCACAGACCTGGTTCTCCAACAAATCCCTGAAGAGCAGGGACTGATGGATCCATAAACCAGAGGAAACTCACTTTTACAGATCTAGCATTTTAATTGTTACATAGAATAAACAATTTGGGAACGTTTCCGAATTTCCCCATTATTTCTAAAAACCCCCTGCTGTTCCTATCTCTCACAGAACTGCG